GTGGGATTTCAGTGGAAGAATTGAAGGCCCCTTAAAATAAGAAGCAACTGACAGTAAGATAGGCACTCCTAACATAAGAACGGGGAATTTTTCACATTACGTGTGATGCTTAAAGCAGGGAGGTGTTTTCTTTTAACAGGGCAATGCCTTCCAGGGCCCTCGGAAAGCAGACATTGTGGCAAGAGAGAAGGTCATTGAATTGATCCAACTCCAGGCAGAAAGGATTTTGGCCTTAAAGGAAGAGATTGCTCTCTTGCGTAAGAAAGGTGGTCTTATCCTCCCCCCCATTCAGCCTCCACAAGAGAAGGAGATGAAGCCCATGGGCCTTTAAGTTTGCTTTTTTCTCTCAACTCCGTCCAAGATTTCTGACATACAACTTACCAGAAGTTCTGTTTCCTTGCCGGCTGCAATAGTCCTATTATTTTAAAGTGAATTTATTTAAAAGTCTAAGACCAGATCCACTCATAGTTTTAATAACTTTTCTCCAATTTGGTTATCTTAGAATGGACTCTAGCACCCAACATCTATTTCCTATTGAACTGAACCATTTTAGATCTGTTTGGAACCCACTGGATTGAATATGGAGTCTCAGAAGGCTGTATGTATCTCAAAATGGCAAGAAAGCATCTGCAATATATCTTGTTTTAGGAAATTTGTCTCTTGCTTATCTGAATTTTTAGCCATCGGCAGGAATAACTAGCAATCTGTGAGAAAGCTTGCTTGTTTCAGTCCTTGGAAAATCAACTCTGATATTCAGTGTTTTCTGAGAACAAAAACCAAAAGCACAAGCTATTCTGCCAACAGTATCTTAGAATGAGATGCAAATCAGAATTCTGACATTGTTAACTCCACAGGGCAGTTATTTGAGGGCTCAGGATGCAGGAAATGCAGACAGAGCTGTTAGCTTTGGATTGGCCGAAAGCAAGAGACTACCCAGCTTCCTGAATCACCCCTGGCTTTGGCGAACTCCTCAGCTCTGAATGGAGCAGAGGAGTATGTTCTGCAAAATGGTCAAAACGGTGGCTTTTCTCTGAAGGTGTTTGCAGTATTCTAAGTAGTCCCATAGCTTTTCATGTCCTCTGCATTTTCTTCCGGGTTCTAGTCAAGTCATTTGCTGTTTTTGATGTAGATCCCTAAGTCTTGATAGGTTACATCACTCTATCACTCTGAAAGACTGGCTCCAACCATGACTTTTGATTGTGCATAACATTTTAAACTAATTTGATTGTCCTTTTCATTTGGGGGTAAGTGGTGATAGGGATTCATGGCTGTACCCATTTAGGAATGCTCTCCCTGATATTTGGACCCTGTTAGTAACAGAGCTTAGCATTTGAGATTCAGAGCTCTGTGGGTCCATATATATGAATGAGCGTCTCCACTGAGCTGTCCCAGAATAGAAGTTAGTCATGGAGAAGGAAAGGTGAGGAAGGTGATATTACATCAGTGTAGAAAGTGACCCAGCAATGTCGTCTTCCTAACCTGGGTGACCGGCCTGCTGATCTGTCCTCCCTTGGGATTAGATAGGACTTGCTTCCTTTCAAAGATTCTTTCATGTTCCTATTTAAGCGATCCAAAAAAAGTTTGTGCTCATTAGCTTAAATCTCTGGTGAAGTAGCTTCTCTACTGGAGAGCACCCACTGTCACTTCCTCTGCTGTACGCTCTAAACTATGTGTGCCCTTCAAGCATCTAACAAAAATTGCTAGAGGGTTTTACTTACTTATTGCTACATGAAGTTACCCCCGAACATTGCTTAATGCAACAGGCACTTCTCTCACCCAGGTTCTGAGGGTCAGGGATCTGGGAGCAGCTTAGCGGGCTGCTCTGGGCTCAGAGTCTGTCTCTCCCGAGGTTGTGGTCAAGCTGTGTGTTGGGGCCACCCCATGCGAGGCTTGGCTGGAGCCGGAAGGGCTACTTCCAGACGCACTCACTTAGCTGTTTGGCAGGAGGCTTCAGATCCTCGCTGGCTGGCTACCACAATGAGCAACTGCCTGGATAAAGGGGTTGGTCTCCGGGGAGACCCCATTCCCTAGGTGGTAGTGAGAGCCAGGGGAAGTTACGTAATCTTCCTGGGCCTCATTTTATTATCTGACAAATGAAGGATTTGGATAAGCTCTAAGTCTCTTTCCCATTCTGAAATTCTGTGATTCTAATTGCAGCAAGAATGACTTTAGAGTCTATGGAAGAGCTGTGGCAAAGACTCCCTGAGTTTTTCAACTCTGTAAAACCAATCAGGATTATTGTCCCCCCCGCCAAATCGAACTAGACTAAATCATCACTTACGTCCACAATAGGCCTTCATCCTGTAGGTTTGACAATATAGTTAATACTCAGTTGTTTATTTTGAATTTATTTTGAACAAGACCTATAGCTAGCTTCAGTTTCATTACGTGATTCCAGACTTAGCCTTAAATCTGTACTTAAGTATAGTATCAGAGTCTTTGGGAAGTTTAGCTTTGGAAAGAAGGAGACCCCCAGGGTTCAGCTTTGGTGGGGGATAACTTTCCATTCACTCCTGCTCCCCTGATCAGACTGTTCTCTCCTCTGGCTGTGTCTCGGAGAAAGCTGCCTTACCTCTCAGAGTGAGACCAAAATCTGTCCACACGGAGTTACCTCTGGGGCAACTGCTAACGTAACTTGGCTATTTTGAACCCTTGTCCACAGTACCCTCAAAACCCAACGCTGGAAGAAAAAGCAGCTGTCGAGTGAAGCCCTGTGTCACAGTTAGTCACTGTTGCCAAGGCCGGCTGTCCTGTCACGGAGGACTGCCATGCCTGGGCGGGGCTGTGGGCCTGAGCTGGGCTCTGCACCCCCACCAGCGCCTGCCCACTAGGTCCTGCTCTTCCATTATATAAAAATTATAAATTATTATAGCCTTTGCCAGCTGAATCAGACTTTTAAAAGGCACTATAATAATCTGAATCTAAAGAAATATAAAAAACAATGAAATCGAACATCCAAGCCATTTTATTTTCTAGGCTAAAATTTAGAGGCCTGATGCCTTTCCTCTTTTCCTGCTATTGGCAAAGGTAAATACACATATTTATCTCATTTAATGTGCCTTAGGATTTTTCTCTCCTAGAATTTTTTTTTTTAAGATTTTTTTTTTTTATTTATTCATGAGAGACAGAGAGAGAGAGAGAAGCAGAGGGAGAAGCAGGCTCCCACAGAGCAGGGAGCCCGATGCGGGACTTGATCCCAGGACCCTGGGATCATGACCTGAGCCGAAGACAGACGCTTAACCATCTGAGCCACCCAGGTGCCCCTAGAATTTTTTTTTTGAGAGCAAAAACCATTCAATATTGTCATGGTTCCAGGGCTGTGCAGAAAGCAATTTTACGTATCACTTCCATAAAGTTCACCAAGATTCACTTTGACAACTATGTGGGATCATCAAGGAGCAAAAAAAATAAATAAGTAAAATAAAATTTAAAGCCAGTGGCCTAGGAGGTGAGTTACAGCCCAGCTCGGAGAGACCCTGGCTTAGCTGAGTAAGGATTGAGAGTATTGGTCCTGTCCCACTCCTGGAAGTGACTTTTAGGCCCACAGTGCAGGGTTGTAGCTGAAGTTACATCTTATTTCTTCTATCATTTCCATGTTCCTTACAGTCCATTTTATTTCTTAAAGTATTTTTTAAATACAACTTTTCTAAAGATCATGTTGCATCTCGATGAGAACGCTTTTCCCAGTTTAGCTGTTGGACAGAAAAAGCATGCCAACAAAGGTAAGTGCAGGCCCGGTATCACTTCCGGCCAGTAGAGGGTGCACTTGTCCGAGTATCTGGTTTCTCCCACGGTGACTAGGGTGGAGTGAGTCTGGCCCCAGGACTCATAACCAGATTGAGAGTCTCAGGCTGCATTGCATCTGTAACTAACTCACCTTTGCTGAAATCTAGCACACAATTTCCCTTCTGAGAACGGCTGAGTGTTAGGGCTTTCAGTGCAAAGCTTCAGCCTCCAGCTAGTGCCAGTTGCAGGTATAAAGGTTGATCCTGTGGTTGTATGGAAGTAAGTAAATGTTGATTTTAGACGACTAGTGAGTCAACTCCTCTGGCAATGTTGGTCTATCTTTGGAAAGAAAAGTGAGCTTTATCAGGCACCACCCATGCACATGCAGCCTAGCACTTAACTAAATGGCATTCTGGAGAAAATACTTCATCTTCCACACATATCTCTGTGACCAAAGCTTTACCTCGAGTCGAGTCCATTCAGTAAGAGAACTGCGAATCTGCTTAACTACTTCACACTGTCTCCCTCTCGGACTAAACAGTTACTAACACAATACTTAAAAAGACAAAGAATTAGACATCTGCTACCTTTTCCAGCTCTCAGACTCTTGACAGAGTTGAAATGTCACAAGTGGAGATTTTCTTCAAATAAATACTCAAACTGAATCCTAACATCTAAAGAGGATGCTGACTCATATGTGACAAAGTTGAAGGTTACAGGAAGACTAAACATTTATTTAGAAGTTACAGTGTTTGTTTTTACAGAGATAGGTTGCCACAGATTATTGATTCTGGAAGTTTGTTAATACTTATAGGACTATACACATCTTAGTCTATTCTCATGAGCATCTTCTGAAAACGTCTCCTGTAGTACCCGGTCCAGTTGTCTTCACAAGAGTCTCCAGCCTGTGATACGGGGGCCCTTGCTTTTCCCTCATCATTGGTCATGGACAGTGTGCCTAAGATTCATCCTCTCAGCAGCTTCTCTGGGGGCCTTGTGTGGCCTCCTGGGTGGTGGCAGAGGTGCTCAGTGAAGGGTTGCCTCCTCAGTCTGTGTTACTCTTGCCAGGTGGAATCCTGTTACGGGGGCTTCTTTGATTTCCCCCTCATAACTCAAGGGGTAGGATTCTCTGTGTCTCTCCAGAATTATAAAAACACATATACATTTATTTACAAGTGCATAAATATATAAATATGGCTATTATAAAAAAATAAATACCAATTTTCTCTCTTTTTAAAAACAATATATAGTCTTTCTGGGATATTGGTTTCTGCCTAAATTGTAGGAGGTGGTGTTTCAAAAGCTACGTGCACTGGTGAGCTGGGGGAGAGCCGCATCCCAAGTTCCTGCCCTATGTAGGCCCCTGTGGGGTGCTGGGAACACCAGTCTCCTCCACCCACTTGGCAGGAGTTAGGACTGTCCACCTCTTCAACTGGTACAAGGCCCAAGCAGCACGGGGGCCCTGAGGGGAGAGAAAAATGGAAAACATTAAAATCCAGACTGACCAGGGACCGTTGCTCAGTGGTACTGGGTCAGTCTCTGTGATGGGAGTTGGTTATACTAGCCCTAAAAGAGGCAGAAAGACATAACTATGGCAAGGGCATTTCTGTTCTCAGGTCTTAGAGACATGGCGGGGGGGGGGGGCACTTGTTACCCATGTCCCACCTACACATTTCAGTGAGGGAACCCCAGAGACTCTCAAACACTAAGCCTATACCCTGGGGCAGATGAAGTCAGCTGAGCCCATGAAATGTGGAAGAGAGCCCTGTTCTTTCCAGATATAAGCTGCTAGTCTACCCCTCTGATATGATTTCTCTGGGCATAATCATCCCACCCCAGATGGAGTCCGGTTTTGATGATGCCGGGATCTGGCTCTAGGAGGTGCCTGTCTTAGAATTTTATCTCCCAGAGACAGAGTCTAGGATCTGCATGCGAATGGACATTCATGCCATGGAAGCTAAGAAGCATTAGCCAGTTGTCTGAATCAGCATGTGCTCCAACCAAGGGTCCACTGGTTTCCAAGAGCCTGGCATGAAGGAGGACTGTGGGGCGGGCGGTGTGCACTGAGGCCCCGGAGAAAAGGCTCTGTGGAAGCACAGAGTTAGGAGGGTGAGGTGAGAACTCGGTTGCTTAATGGCTGATATCATCTCATTCCTTAATTAAGAGACAAGACCCAACAAAGCAAGGTATTTGGGGTGATTAGAGAATGCCTCTTGGTGTGATGAGAGGCGGTAGGAATTTGTGAATGGTCTTAAAATGCCGAGACCAAAAGGGCTTCTTTCTCTGAAATGCGGATGTGTCCTTTTCTCAGCTTTTTAGAGCTGGCCCCACCTGGTTTGCCCCCACAGGCTCGCTCGCTCCCTGTCTCTCCCATAGAAAAGCTGTTGGATGGCTCTTAACACCACTTTTGAGGAGGACTGTTCTCTCCCCCTCTCTAGGCCACTGTGGGGTTATGGACACCTACTTCATGTCATCCCCAGCCTGTGCAATTTCCCGCCCTGCCTCTGGCACCAACCTCGGTGAAAAAGAGGGTCCCAGGTTGCTTCCAGCCCAGGGCTCTGGGGTACGTTCCTCGTGCCTGACTGGCCTGTGGCGGCGGGCTGTTCCTGGAGGTGGCGGCAGTCTTGGTGGGGCTGGAGCAGCAGGTGAGCTGAGTCATCAGGCAGTGTATATAAGAAAGAGCCCTCGTCTGGGCTAGACTTGGGACCCCTGCGGGCACGAGACCAAATGGAGAAGTGAGGTGGAGGCTGCGTGGGCCTGTCTGCCCACCGCCCTGTCTGAGGGCATCAGAGCTGGTCAGGGCTGACCATTTGAACAGTAAGGGATGCCATACCACCACTTCCGTGGGTAATTCTAGTCTATTTCCATTTTATTCTGTGTAAGTCCTGGGTGCGTGAAAGGATGTGCAGTCAGGTGTCGAGGGGCCTGTGGACAGAGCCGGTTGTATGTGGCTGCTCTGGCCTGCCGAGCGAGGGAAGGACTCTGACAGGCCAACCCATGCCGCAAAACAGGAAGGGCATTATAACTGCAAACACAACACCTCCTTAGGAGACAAGTCCGGCGGAGCAGGTTGTCAGATGTGCCCCCCTCCCCGGCCCCCCTCAGTGACTGAGACTGGGTTTGAGGAGCTAACGAGAAAGAAAGCTCTGGAGTGAAAGGCAGGGATGGGAGAGGCCTGGTTACCTGGGAATCTGGTGACTGGGGGGGTCATATCCAGTGCCAAGAATGGTCTGCTTTAGCAGGCCGCTGGTGTCTTCCTGCTGCTCAAAAGAAAGAGTAACAAAAAGGTCACATCAGAGTCCAGGTAGCTTTCCTGTTTGGTGTTCAACAGAATGAGCCATTCCTTCCTGACTAAAGAGAGCCAGACCCGGCAGCCCAGGATTAGAGGCTGGAAGGGAAAAAGCCCCAGGAGGCAGCCCAACCGCCCCTATGCTGGCCCGCACCTCTGTGCCCACATTCCCAGGACTACGTTACCTGCTGAAGCACCCCTGGGCAGTGCTGCTGAGCTTTCACGCCTGGGTAGGCCAGGGCAGCTGCAGGGCAGCCCCTGTTCACATGGATCCCACGGGCACAGGCCCGGCTACTGGTGCCACTGAGGTAGGGCTGCCCATTGGCCTGTTGGCCTGGGAGTCCTCCCAGTGGTACCATAGTATATTGGCAGGGGGAGGACAGAAGGGCACCTCGAGGAAAACCCAGGTCTGTGGTATGTTCTGGAACGACAGAAGGACAGAGGTATGCTTAGGCCAAGGAGGCCCAGGGCAGCCTCCAGGACCACAGAAATCTCAGAAAACTTCTGACTACATAGGGTAAAATGAGGTATGCAGGGAGCTGACACTGCCTCAGGGATGAGAATATTCTCTCTCCGAATATTCTTCCAGTCACCCACTTCTAACATTTAGACTCTCTTCTGCAGTGGGGAGAAGGGTGACTAGATACAGGGGCAAGAAGTGGTGAGCCAACAGAAGCAACATTTAAATGAGGCAAGTTGCTCAGACGTGTTGCCATTTGAAGCAGCAATTAGTGGGTAACAGGCCAAGAGAGGAAGCTCAAGGCATCCGCAGGCCCAGAGAAGCGGCAGGGAGGACGCGGGGTCCATCTGCAACACGAACAGGTGGTCAGAGCAGCAGCTTCAGACATGGAAAGGAGTTGGAGCCAGATAGGTACTGAGCTCCAGAGACTCAGAGAAGACAGACCACTTTCCACTGCATGCTTTCCATCTGCCAAGGCCCATGAACTGGGAGGAAAGGGTCCAGGCGTGGCATATTTTTCTCTCTCTGAGCCCTGTGGGGGGACCCAGGAGCTTACGCTCCAGTGAATGCGAAGCAGGGCGCCTCCTCCCCTCCCTAGGCTCCTTCCCCGAGGTGCTGGGGGGGTCACTCACTCACTTTGCTTAGACCAGGCCCTCCACAAACAGAAGGGGATGAAGGCGACAATGATGAGGACGATGGAGCCCAGGACAACCCCAACAATCAGGTAGGGCAGGTCGCTGGAGCGTGCCACCATGGCCCCGGTGCCCACAGGCCGCTCTGCGGTTTCTGGGGGTGGCAGCTGAGGTGGGGCCAGAGTTGGGGGTGGGAGTCGACCGGGCTGACCAGAAGACTTCCGGGCTGTAATTGTGGACAAAACTCACTTCAGCATCGATTATCTGACATTTCCCCCCCAACAAACAAAAAACAGCACCAACAACAAACCTGATTCCATGGGACTGGGAAATGGGGTCAAACTCACAAGGCAGTGCCTCAAAACTCTGTATTAGATGAGTGTGGCGTCCAAGCTCAGCATGAAACTGGCCTCTAATGGGAGATTTGGTATTGCTGAAGGGAACTGAACCTTCTATTTCAAAACACAACCTGAGATATTTGTGAGCCAAGCACTGCATCAGACTGGGTCTTTTGGGCAGAAGAGGTGTAGGGCTTTTCTCAGAGAATAGCCAGTGAACTTTTGGAAGAAAATCTTAAAAAAAAAAAAAAAAAAACACATGAGGGGAACCTGGGTGGCTCAGGCGGTTAAGCGTCTGCCTTCGGCTCAGGTCATGATCCCAGGGTCCCGGGATCGAGCTCCGCATCAGGCTCCCTGTTCAGCAGGGAGTCTGCTTCTTCCTCTGACCCTCCCCCCATTCCTGTTCTCTCTCTCACTCTCTCAAATAAATAAATAAATAAAATCCTTAAAAAAAAATGCATGAAACCAGCAAAAGAACTGGGAATGGCAGAATTTACCCATGGATTTGCTATTCCTGGGCAGATAAGGGTTGCAAAGTCCTAGGTCTGAGCCTGGTCGCAGAGCAGGGAGATGGAGGTGGGGAGACGTTCTAGGGCATTCAGTAACCGGGAACCACCCCTTCTCTAACAAGATGGCAACTCCTCCTGTGGCTCGTGCTAGTTGCAGGCTGCGTCTGACCTGTTAACGCCCGTGCACAGCCGTCTGCCTCTCGACTCTGACAGCACAGCTGGGGACCTCCCGCTACCTCTCTGAGGGCAGCTGCTTACATTTTTCTGTCTTCTCCTCAGAACTGCCAGCCCTCCTCGACCCTCTCAGGCCACACTCTCTCTACTCTGTCCTGTGTCCTGATGGCGCCAAGTCCCTGTGCCCAGGGCCCTCCCCCGCCGGGAGACCTGCTTCTCTCTCAGGGTCTCAGAAGAATCAGCCCCAGGAAGTCTCCAAGTGGTTTCCCCTTGCTCCTTCCTTTCTCCTGGGCTCTGCTGCTCTTCCGGCTTCCCCATTTCAATAAATGGCAACATCATCCGTGCGCACTTTGTGCTAGACACCTCACAGTTCACTCTGAACTCCCCTCACTCTCCCCCGCCCCGACGTGCTAGCGGGCCCTGGTCCTACCCCCACGTCCTCAGGACAGACTCCAACTCATACCTTCTCCTCGCCCGTACTTCACAGGCACCACGCTCTCTCCCAGCCCGCTCCCGCAGAGACACCAGGAAGCCCTCCCGACCCCACGGCCACAGGGTCCTCGATGATCCAATGCCCATGGACCCCCCGGGCCCTTCCCTGAGCATTCCCTCTCTCGTCCTCCTTCTAGATGCCACACCCTCCAACCACCGGGCGCTACTTGCAGGCAGGCCCTGTCCCCCAGGCTAGACCCACCTGAAGCTTCAAGCCCTCCAGCCCGGGGTGAAGCCAGGGTGAAGCCTTTGCTCTTTGCCCCGGGCGCTCTGTGTGCCACTTGCTGCAGGACTTCCAGCCCCTCCCTTCCCTGCACAGGGGGGAAGCGGGCAGGGAGTGCACACAGGAGGCACTCTGCCTTTGCTGAATAGGGGAGGAAAGTAGTGCAAAGCTAGAGAGACGGTGTTGCCAATGTCGGGAAAATGGATTCTTTTCTGTCTCCATTCCTATTCCTTTGTGATCCTCTCCTGATTCTGTTCTTTGCAATATACCTGGGTTAGATGTTTCCATATTTGCAAAATGGACACGATGATATCTATCCACTTGACCAATGTACAAATATTAACAAGTTATTATGTAGAGATGTTTAACATGCTTCAGTGCAGAGAAAGAATCCAGGCTTGTCGTTAGATGAATTTGGCCCAAAGTGTGCTCCACCCTAACTGGCTAAGTGAATTTGCTCAGTTTCTTTCCTACCCCATGGAATTGTAGTTAAATTCAGTAAACCAACCAATGTAAGTACCAAATGTTATCGGACTATAGTGTTTATAGAAAGTTCTGACCTTAAGGATGGGTTCTATTCCATGAGTTCATCATGTATGAGTTAATTCCCCACTTCCTTGAAGCCATCAGGATGGCAACCCTATTCATACCTGAGGCCCAGGCAAATGAACAGAAGGGTTAAAAATGACAAGGTTTAGGAGTACTTAGAAAATAAGGTGTCTTCATGGGGAAGAGTTATCAGCCTGCCACATGGAACAGTGACTTGGTCCTAGCTGGCTAGAAATAGCAAGAGGAGAGCAGAGAGCCTAAAGAGAATCACCTTTGGTTTCGCAGATCATCACGTTGCTGAACTCACTCTCCCCGCCCTCATTGAAGCACTGCATCTTAATGTCGTAGGAGGTCTCTGGCTGCAGGTGGCTGATGGAGTGCCAGTATCGATCCCCTGGAGAACACAGCAAGAAAGTCACACGTAGTAATATGCATCTGTTCTGTCTGGAACCAGTCACAGTCGGACTCGGACAGGGTTGTGTGTGTCTGGGCTGGTGCCGTGAATGCAGCAGGGCACCCTGGGGTGGAGGAGCACTGGAGGAAAGGAAGCATGTGGGTTTATGATCTTGATGACCCTAGGTGTGGCACGGGTCCGTGATATGCGCACAGATGCTCTGTGGCCCACCAGCACAGGTTTTATACTTTCACCAACACCTAGGCCCCCCTTGCCAACAGAGAAAACCATATCACCTGAGGTGCTGCTTACCTTCCACCATATCCTTCTTGTAGTCACTATCATTGTCACTGTCTGTGGGTCGATAATAGATATAAAAGCCATGGATTGGGGTGTTGTTGTTACTTGCTGGAATATACTATAGGGAATGGAGAAGAAAAACAAGTTGACCATGGAGCAGAGAAATCATGTGAATAGAAGCACTGGTGGATAGAAATTTTACCCCAGCCTGGAGTTTAAAAATTCACTGAGGGAGCTAAGAAAATACTTCTGCTGATATCTCCAAGGCTTTCTGGGGGAAGGCTGTAAGATCACTTGTTATTTAGCCTAAAGGTCCCCCAGCTCTTGGAGACCAGAAATGGCCATTTCTCCAAAGATGTAAGTCCCCTCTAAACCTGCCTGGGTACCATTAGGATGAGGCTCTCTGGCTCAATTCCCAGGTATGGGGGGCTTGGGGGGTGACCACTTAAGGGGAAGGATCTTAGAAGAAGGGCAGAAAAGTGATTCTTTCCTGCTCCTGCTGCAGCAGCCAGCCCTTGTCATCAGGAAGCTAGGCCCCATCTCCCCGTTGCACTCTGTGCGAGGCCACTTACCATCCACTTGAGCATGATGGTGGTCTCGTTGACAGCATCGGTGAAGGTGATGTAAGGGCCTGCCACAGGCCTCTCGTACACACGGCCACTATAGCTCGACACCACATACGGCCGGGAGGGGGCGCTGGGCTCACTCTCCCCCAGCATGTTCAGAGCCCTGACCCGGAACTTGTAGGAGGTGCCTGGTAAGGGACACTCACTTGAACCCAGGAGCTGGAAAACACTTCTGACCAACCCCCACCCAGCACACCCAGAACCTGGAGGATCTTTCAGGTAGCCCTTCCCCAAATGCCAGTCCCCAAAGGACACAAGGACTCCCATCTTCTTCAGAAAGGAGCCACAGAGGGGACAGCTATGGACCTCTTACGGAGAGAGGGAGGATAAGGCAGGGTTTGTAGGATGGAGGGGACACCACCAAGAGCATCCATGTACGCAAGACTGGGGCGGGGCCAGGCCAGCAGAAAGAAGGGCCTCCAAATTTCCGACTGTCTTCCGAGGGGTCGGGGACAGCTGGAGGACCAGGTGGGACAGTGGTCAGACCCCTACCTTTCTCTAGGCCAGTGATCTCCACCGAGAGCCGGGAAGGAGGGATGGCACTGGTGGCCAGAATCCAGTCCCCCACTTTCTTTAGCTTCTTGTACTCCACACGGAAGGATTGGATTGGGAAACCACCATTCCCACGGGGAATCCAGGTCACATACACTGACGTCTCAGAGGCCATGGAGATAGTGGGCCTGTCCGGAGCTTCAGGGGCTGGAGGAAACCATACGTGAGGGAAGGGGGAAGCAGGAGGGACACGATAAGGTGGTTGTATTGCAACTGGACTTGGCCTGTTCCTGACTGGGGCCTGTTACCCGCCCTCCCCATCTGGTGGCCGTATCAGATCTTCCAGAGCTAACCTGGGTCACCTTCTCCCAGAAGAAGCCCTTGAGCTAGGACTCCTAGAACCATGCTTCTGCAATGTCAGACTGTGGAGGGCCCAGAGTCTGTGGCTCTCTCCTCTGTGCTGTCTGGACCCACAGGGTTAGCAACCCTTACCCGCCATGTCAGACTAACATTTTACTTGAAAAACTCCAATCTACGTTTTCTTATTGGGGTTGGCTGGGGAGATGCCAAGAAAATATCGTTAGGCTTCCCAGACCCACAGAGCAAGACCCCATTCCACCTGCAGCAGTGAGCCTTCTGAGGTGGTGGGCCTGGTTCCAGTCCTGACTCCTGCTCGCTCCCGCCCCTCTGAGCTGCTGGGGGCTTACGAGAGAGGCGGCCGTGGTCTGGCTGACTGCTGCTCTGGGGGCTGGCTCCGGGGTCGTCTCTCTGGATCTGCTGCTCCTTGCTGGCCATGACGTCAGGTTTGGGTCGCCGTCCTGGAGGGAAATGGATCGAAACCAGCAGATGGGGGAGCATGTATTAGGTCTCCCTTTCCAGAGAGTTCTTTCAGCCTGAGACTCTGCTGGGGGCGTCTAACAGGGTGATGCAAATCATACAGGACATTGGCAGTGTGGTCGGATTCCCAGCTCTGCCTGACCATTAGGTACTGTGCCTGGCCCCAGGGTGCGAGTGTGCATGTGTGTGCATGTGTGTACACACACGCGTGTGCAACAGGGGCAGTGGCCTCAGAGGCCAGCTGGCAGCTCTCCTGATGAGACACAGGACCTCAGCCTGGGCTCATAAACCACAGGGAGGCAACAGCTGAAAGGAAGATAAAGTTCAAGGTGAACAGCTGGGCCAAGGTGAGCAGGGCTTCCCCTCCTGGGCCTGGCAGGATTTGCTCAGGCCCACAAAACCCCGAGCTGGGGGCAATGTGTGACCCTTACCAGTTCGGAAGGTGACCATGGCTGTCTGGCCTTCGCCTCCACAGTTGTAAGCTGCCATCTCCACTTCATACAAGCTCCCAGGGTCGAGTCTGGTGAGGGTCAGGCGGTGCTGGCTGGCTGCAATGCTGGAGACGGTCCAATTGTCAGAGGAGTTTGTGACCTGCTGGAGAAGGTAGCTGGTATCAGAACTGGCATCTCAGCCCAGAGCTACTGGTGGCCGTGGTTTGCAGAAAAAGCAGAATGGAGTCCAGCAGGGCAGGAGGAAGGGAAGAACAGTGGGCCGGGTTTGGGGAGGGGTGGTGCTGCTGAGCGCAGACTGGTCCTGCAGGCTCTGGAACTTCTATCCTCTCTGGGACAGTGAAGTAGGCTCCCTGGTCCCTCATTTAACCATCCCGTCAAAGAAAATTCAGTGGGGAGGGTCGACAGCCCTCTTAGAGCTGAGAATTTCCCCAAACACCTCCTATCTGTATTTCCGAAAACCTCCGCATTTAACTTTTTTCTCCTTGCTCTATTTAAACCAAATAAACACAGTCCCTTAAGTTTATGTTCTGGGAGGATGATTAGGAGGATAAAAGTAGCAGCACCAGTAGAAAGAATCTCGGCTGCTGAGTGCTTACTGTGTGCTCAGCATGGAAGCAAGCACTTTACAGGCCCTGTGAAGAGCTTTCACGACAACAGACCAAGAGACAGGTGGTAGTTTTTTTCCTGCTTCACAAATGCTAAGGCTTGGAGGGAGGAGTAATTTGCCTGCAGCTACCTTGCTAGTGAGCGCAAAAATCATGACTTGACTCCAGAGGGCACATTCATAATCATATGCAACTCATCCTAGAAAGAAAGAGTCTGGGAGCCAGAAAATCTTGGGTTTAAATCCTGATTGTGTCTCTAAATCCAGCTGTGTAACCCTGAGCCAGTTCCCTAACCTCTCTGATCCCTAAGGTTTTCATTTCTAACAGGAGTCAAATAAAAGCTCTCAGTTTCTTCTGAAGATTAAATGAGATGATGTATATAAAGTGTCAGGCACTGAGCCTGGGAGGGTTCCCAGTGAGGGCCCGGCCCCTTCTGCGGACTCACCCCACATCCTCCACTTGGCGGGTGCCGCCATTTTGATCCTTCTCTTTCCACTCCTGCCCTCATGGCTTGCTTTGTGCTTAAAAACTGCGGATGAATTGTAACTGTTATGGATTAACCTTTAATGGCCCCAAATTCCTAGCTCTTTAGATAAAAAAAATCCAGGCTCCCTCCCCAACAGGTGACGTCGAGAGGCTGCTTCATCTCACCTACCGTACCTTTCAGGACAAAAGGTTTAACTGCCAACAGTGCACATCTCACAGAGTCTGCAGGGACTTGAGCTGTGGTTTGCTCAAGAATCAAACAGCTGGTAGGAAAAACCCTTATCCCTAAGCAGAATATTCCGAAGTAGAACAAAACCTTCTATTCAAGGGACAGGGATGGTCTGGGCTCATTTATGTCAGACTTCCAGGATTTGTTCCACGGGAAGAGGTTTTTACAAACTGAGAATCCTCAGTAGTACTGGAAACCCAGACACAGTAGCCCAGGGTCTGCAGATGCGGCAGGAAGTGAAACTGGCTTCACAATGGGAAAAAGTGAAAATGAGCTGAGTGATTCCCAGTCTCCTGCAAGAGAAGGGGCTGCAAACACAACCCAAACACTGATTTTTCCCTTCAAAATCCTTTCTTGTGGGGCGCCTCGGTGGCTCAGTTGGTTAAGCGACTGTCTTCGGCTCAGGTCATGATCCTGGAGTCCTGGGATCGAGTCCCGCATCGGGCTCCCTGCTCAGCAGGGAGTCTGCTTCTCCCTCTGACCCTCCCCCCCTCATGCTCTCTCTCTCTCATTCTCGCTCTCCAATAAATAAATAAATAAAATCTTTAAAAAAAAAAAAATCCTTTCTTGTGTGACGATCCTTAAGACCTGCTAGTCCTTCGAGAAAGGTCCTGCTTGCAAGACATAATTCCTGTCGTGGCTGTGTCCACCTAGCAGCCCCAAGTGCCCCAGAGGCTGGAGCCTAACCGAAGCCAGACCCAGCGGGGGCACGGTCCTCTCATTTTCCCCGTACCCCTTTTCTTCCTTGGCCCTCCCGGCGCTGGCCTCACGCTGCCACTGGGCTCCAAAACAAAACTAAGAAAGAGCCTGGTCATTAGTCACTGTCACACGCACACAGGGTGAATACGGCCCCGGCCTGGCATTTCCGGATCACCACACATGGCCTTTGCCAGCCTGCCTCTTGGTGAAGCAGTTTCATGGCCACCTATTGGCCTAAAAAATATGATTCTTGTTCTCATTGCTGGTTCTTGTCTCCTGGGGACTGTAAGCATTTGGCCTGCCCTGATCTCTGTCTACAACTCGAGATGGAGGTGTCTAGTTACATGGGGAAACAAGGATTAGGACCAGCCCTGCCCCATAACCTGGGCAGAACAATGCAGCTTTTTGTTACAAATACATTCACCCCCATTTGCTGGCTGGCTCTGAAGAGGCCAGCGGGCCGTGTTAGTGAGAAATTGCACCCCAACCCCCACCTAGGAGGCAGTTTTGCCTCAGGTGTCTTTCCGACGAGCCAGTGCGTCTGCGGACTTGTCCTGAGCCAAGGTCACAGAGGGAAAGAACAGAACGAGAGGGGCTGGCAGGGTCCAGAGCAGGGGAAAGGGCTACTGCACAGCTGACATGCGGCACTGCAAAGGGCTGGGTTCGTTTTTTGGTTTTGGAGGGGGAGAAGAGTTGATAAATACTTTTAGTATATAAAATATAGCACCTATAATACGTTATCAAAGAACATTTTAAAAAATCCATTTAAAAACAGTAATTTTCTATTATCTAATGGTCTTAGAAAAAGCAGCACACATCTGGGATGAACAGAAATGCTCTCCCAGGACATTTCTTAAAGGGAACCTTATGCCCTTCTCCCTGTGGGGTAACAGCAGGTGAGCTCACGGCCCTATCCTGCCTCACAGGACACCGTGTCCAAGAGGATGGCCTGGCTGCTGTCCCCACACCCTGCCAGAGCCAGAGGTCCCCTCCCTGCTAGCTCCCGAAACCTCCACCTGGACAGGCCTCCTTCTGTCAAGGAGAAACAGCTGAGGTTTGAGCAACTTGATGCGCTTTCACCTCCAACGCCCGCTTGTCAAAGCCGAGCCATGAGGGATCCTGAAAACTGAGGGGGTATTTTACAGTCCTCAGAGAAAACACTTGTTCACAAATATTTGTCTTCCTGGCCCTACAGCTAGCTTGCCACGTGGAGTTCCTGCAGGTATGTGCCCAGTGGAGCTTGCTTCCGTTAAAAAACAAAATAAAAAACATCAACGACAAATGACAGAGGGAAGGGGGAGGGCAGGTGATGGTGAACAGGGAGACTATTCACTCTCCCCCAGGAGGAGAAGTTGGTGGTGGTCGCTTCTGGGAAACCAGCTCGCAGAGAACCTGAAGGAGCACACATGACTCTTTCCTGTGCCTCTTCGGGTCCCACATGCCTCAACTCACAACCAACTTCCTGGGAGGTGGCAGGAAAGTACAGCGGAGGAGACAGGAGGTCAAGGGCAGCAGTAGGGATTGCTGGTCCAGGCTGCAAGAACTCAAGGGGAGATGGCTAGTAGGCAGAAATCCCTGCCCAGGTCTGAGAGGTCCGCACAATGCCAGTCACCATACCTTGCGGTGTTTCACCACGTAGTAGAGGATTGGCGCCTGGCCACCACCCTCGTGCCGAGGCCGCCACACCAGCTCATATGAGTCCGTCTTGGAGGTCCGGGGTGAGCTGAGGATGATGGGTGCCTCAGCAGGAGCCACCTGCCCCTTCTCTCCAGGGCACTGTGGGGAAGCTGGCTGCACTGATGTCAGGGGCTTTGGGAGCCCTGGGCTCCCCCTTAGCATCTGGTCAGGGCTTCCAGGTCTGGAGGGCAGCATGGAAGGGGTGGCAGTGTCCAGCTTAGCGTCCTGCCATGGCCTCAGGGTTGTAGCTGGAGGACCAAGAAGGAAAGAGAAGGGAAGGAAGAGTTAGTTAGTTAGTTCCCCTGGTCATTGGCTGAATTGTTGGCCCCAGGGAGAAGACAGAGAGGAGTGAGAAAACCTGTGGGGACAGGAAGAGCCCTCAGCTCAGAGCCTGAGGTGACCATCAGCCCACTGCACACATAGCCAGGCTCTGTGGGAAGAGAGAGGGCTGTGTCACTGCCCGGCCAGGAGAGATGGGCAGCCTGATGCCCTGTGCCCGGGCTTCTTGCCATGGCCCCGGGCGGCAGGCAGGCATCTCCGCAAACTGCTTGTCTTTCTGAGCCCATGCACTAGGCTCACCTCAAGTGACGGTTCGGTTTACTCCTGAGGAACACTGCACCTTCCTCCTTATGCCTATGTTGGGGTGGGGGACATGTCCCTTCACTGCAGGGTCTGTTTAACACCATGCAGCCTTTTCCTACTCCACTGCAGCAGCCTGGCATGTGAGATGGGAAGCCGACTGTAGTAACCCCATCAGAGAATCCGAGAGGCCAGGAGAGGCAGCACCTCCCTCAGGAGGCATCTGCAGAATCTGCCAATGCTAGTTCCTCTCCCCAGCCTGCTGAGCCATAGAAGGTTGGCATCTGATCATGTGGATTCAGGTTATCAAATTATTCCCTTGGTGCATTTGGTCTCCTCCGTGAGGAAGTGGAATCTTTGTTATGTTTCTTTGCACTGCCCCCCGCATCATCTAGTCCAGTGCCGAGCACATAAGTAACTGCTCAGTCAGTACAGGTATCAGCTGAAATGAATCAAGCTGAAAAGGACAGATTTGCTTTTCTTAACTCTAGGGGAGTAGTTGTTAAACTGGATGTCATGGAACCCTAGGAACCCACAGATTCCACAAAATAAAAAGCATTTTTAAAAATACAACAGTAAAGGGGCGCATGGGTGGCTCAGTCGGTTGAATGTCCGACTCTTGGTTTTGGCTCAGGTCATGATCTTGGGGTTGTGGACTGAGCCCCGAGTTGGGCTCTGCGCTCAATGGGGATCTCCTTGGGATTCTTTCCCTCTTCCTCCCCCTCTGCCCCTCCCCCTGCTCATGTGCACTCGCTCTCCCTTTCTTTCAAATGAATAAAAAAAAAAAATCCTTTAAAAAATACAACAGTAAAACGAATCACTTCCACTAGCGAAAATGTACACTTCTGACTTTTAAATAAGTTAATGTAAGCTTAAACTCACAACTAAAAGCCACTTTTATCTATTTTATATATTGGGGTTCTAAGTTGGATTTCAGTTGAGGAAAGAGCTCTGTGAATGTGCAGCTGAGATCTCCCGCCTTTCGGGCTGCACTCACCTGGCCTGGCGGTCCTCAGCTGGACCACGGCATGGGCACTCCCAACTTCGTTCTCAGCCATGCACTGGTAGACGCCTTCGTCCTCAGGCCCTACGCTGACTACCCGCAGGGCCCCGCGAGACAGTCGGAGGCGTGGGCTAGAGGCGAGGGGCACGGCATTCCTCAGCCATAGCACAGAGGGCGGGGGCTTCCCACGCACCTCACAGGTGAGCTTGGCACTCTGGCCCCATGGGATGATCAGCTGGGACAGCTCCATGGTGACCTCAGGGGGTTCTGCCAGGAAACCAGAGCAGGGGTAAGAAAGCTGAGGTCTTCCCATCCAGGACCTGACAGGCTGGGGAGGGATCTGTAGTCAGGAATGGGTCCCCCCTTCCCCGTGACTGTCGGTAGAGGGAAGGAAAGGCTCTTGGGTCTCTTCTGTCAGTCATGACAGGAAAGGGCTAGAGAGAAATGCCAGGCCCGTACCCTGGCCCCTGGGATCCAAGCATGCCCAACTCTCTCTGTCCTCCTCCACCACTCACTGGGCATGGGACCTCTCACAAGGCACCTGACCCTGTCTGAGCCTTGGGGTTAGGAGCATCTAGAAAGACCCCACCGACCATAGAGAAGACCGAGGAGAAGAAAGTCTGCAGGAGACACTCACCAAATACCTGGACGTTATAGAGGATGACTGCTGCACCAGGTTCCCCAACCCCGTTGTCGGCCATGCAGCGGTAAGTCCCCGAGTCCTCCTCACTGGTGGCGTCGATGAGAAGGTTGCTCAGCAGGAAGCGTGTCTTGTTGTAGCCGGCAACACTGGACCCATCCTTGGCCCAGGTGACCCGTGGGGGTGGGATCCCACTGGCCACACACTCCAGGATCAGACTCTGGCCCTTGGTGACGATGATGGTCTGGGCCTCTGGTGGGTAGATGATGCGAGCAGCCTCGGCAGTGGAACCTGGAGGGGCCGGGAGGTGAAGGGCAGCATGTGGGGCCAGGACTCGGTGCAGAGGATCCCCTCCATCCCGCCTTAGGTGGCCAGGCCCCAGGAGGCAGTCCCAGACAGTGTGGACTTGGAATCAAACATCCGCTCCGGGGCTTACGACCTACATAAAGTGAGGCAAGTTACTGAACTCCCCTGGGCCTTGGTTTCTTTATCAAAAACAAGGCCCTCCTTCTGCAGAGAGCTGTTGTAAGAAATGAGGAAATATATTGGAATAGCGGCATTGACACGACATACGTATGAATAACTATGCATGTTGGCAAAGAAAAAGATGAGGGGGTGGACAGAGAAACAGGTGGTGTAGGTGGCTTTTCCTGCTTGCACTCAGCAAGTGCACCCCAAGTCGAAGGATGAGCTAGGAGACAAGGATCCATGGTATCCCCCACACTACCCATAGGTCTCGGTTCTCAGCATCACTCACGGTGTGAGCACCTCACGGAGCTGAGCGGGACCCACAGTTTAAAGACATGCATTTCCTTCCTTAGCTGTACAGTATCACAGGTTCCCAAAGCAAATCAACTTCTGGCTCAGCTGCTCAGCTAAGGAAGGAGTGATCTTTTGCCAGTGCTGGTGGAGAAATGGCATAGCACTTATTGGAAGGCAGGTTGCCCTCCAGGGGCCCCTCCCTCCACGCTGGCCTGTGTGATTCTGCTTTAGGTGCCAAGCAGGGGCAGATCTGGGTTTTGTAAGACCTGAGACTTACACAGCTTGGGAGGCCCTCTTTAAGAACCAGAATGCACAATTACAGATACAAAATCCCGTGACTGAGGGACTGCTGAGGTTTGGCTTCATTAGCTGCATAGTACATCTGCCCCTGGTGCTGCCTCTAAAACCAAACTTCACATAAGACGTCCCTCCACTGAATAAGCAGGAAGCCTAGAAAAGTGCCGGGCCCCCAGGAAATGCTCGGCAAAGGCAGACGTTGTTTTCATCCAACTGGGGGAGTGTGTGGGCCTCCACGGACCATCACCAGAGGGAGGTGTTGGGCACACCTCAGCGGTGCAGACAGTGTAGGCTTGGCCTGGCCTTGTGCCAGGCCTTGTGGCCTCACACAGGCACAAGCACCTCATCCCCTGTCCTGTGCACGTGCTGTCAGCTGCTGAGCACCAGGCTGTCTGGCCCTGGCAGCCACATCCCAACAGATCCCCGCTCTGGAAGTCTCACAGTGAAGGAGAGCTCCCAATAGGCAGGAGAAAGGGACAAGCAAGCACAGCTACCTCCGGAGCTAGGCAGGGGACATGTGCCACTAGAGGGGAGAGGACCCCCACTCCATCTGAGTCCTGGATACCCCACTGGCCCAAGCCCCACAGCTCCCACCCCCGCCTCAGAGAACTCAGACTTGGAGCCCGGCCTGTGCCCCCCACTCTGCTGAATCCCCTCCCTTCTCAGCCTGACCAGCCCCTTCCATCAGCGAGACACCCCCTTGCCCCTTACGGCGCACGCGGAGCCTATCACTGGAGCCTGAGGTTTTCACTTCCTGGGTCACTGGGTTGTAGGCAGCACACTTGTACATTCCCTCATCCTCCTGGCTCGCGTTCACAATCTGGAGGTTTCCCGACGGCATGATCAGGTAGTTATCTGAGAAAACGGCAGGGTGAAGGGGACATGGGATGAGTTTGGGCCCAGAATACTGCAGCTGGTAGTCCCCAGTGGGCAGGCAGGGCAGGAACCATGAGCTGTGCACCTGAATCCCAATAAGCCCAAACTGAAAATGCTGTCCTCCCCGTAAAACCTCAAATCAAGGGGGGACAGAAATGCCAGAGAGTAAAACTAACCAATCAGCTGACAAACTGGCTGACAAGCTGACAAACTGGCTAAATCCCCTGAGTTAGTACATAGGTCTATGAAAGAACATTTTATACTTTCAAGGGAGTAGGGTGGAAAGGAAGCAAGATTTGGGGTCTGCCAGACCTGGGCTTAAGCTTTGGATCTGCCATGGACTGTGTGATTTTGGACAAGCTGATTAACCTCTTAGATCCTGTTTCCGCATTTGTAAAGCGGTAGGATATGTGCTACCTCAGTGCCACTGTAAGGGTTGAGGGGCCCATGCTGTACACGTGGGAGATGAGATGGTCATTCCTGCAAGCCACGAGGAAGGAGGGAAATAAATTTATAATTTCCCATGAGTCTCTGTCAGGGTCATGGCTCTGAGCCACCTCACTATTGAATTTCTGCAACCTGGGAGGAATATTCTAACTGCCAACCACGACCTTCTCCATGAATGTTACTGAAACCCTTCTTCTGCATCACTGGTTTGCTGGACTTTGTCTGCTTCGGGACCAGGGATGCCGTGGGGGCGTGGCCCCAGGGCTGTGTTCTGCTTCTTTCAATAGGAGACAGATCCGTGGCTTCTGGACGCTCCAGTGATTGGGATGGTGTTCAGCTTCCTGGTAGGCAAAGCACTGGCCATCAGCTCTGAGCTCTCTGGTGGCCTGGCCTGCCCCGGGGGGGTCCTGGTGTCTCTGAAATCTGGGTTCACTGAGCCTGGTGCCTGCCTGCTTGCCACTGGGCTGCCCCAGGTATGAGCAGCTTAGTTAATGCCTGACAGAATGGGAAAAACCCCTGATTCCTGTGGGGCTTCCTCCAGAGGCTATAGCCAAGCTTCTGCTAGGGACAATGGAGATTAATTCTCTATTCCTCTTAGTCTCCAGTTATTTCTGAGTGAAGGATTAGGGGTTTTACCCTGTCAAAAAATAGTTTTCTGCATTTTCTATAGTGAACATATATATTCCTCATAGGAATACAGGAACATATATTCCTTTCAGAACCAGAAAAACATAATGAAAATATTTAAGTAGCTATAGAATATTCTAAAAGGAATACATTTTGAGCTGTGGGTTCAGTTAAGCACGGTCTACTTGGCCTTCAGTGAAGGGTCAACTATGGGAAGAAGCTGTTTTCATCTTGAGAGACATCCCCTCTCCTCCGTGGCATTCTGTGGACCACAGCTTGGCCTCTCCTAGCCCAGCTGTCACGCACGCCGTGGCCTGAGCAGGAAGCTAGGACGGCTGAGACAGCTGCATTACTAGGAAGATGGGAAGGGAAAAACCCGAGTCCCACTGGCAAGCTTCCTCTGCTGTATGGGAAAGAGCTCCACCTCCCACCGGGCAACCCTGCAGTCCCACGGACGGCTGGGTTCGTCAGGCCGCCTTGCTGTGTGTGCCTGGTGGCAGGGAATCCAGAACCCTGTCCTGACAGCCTTGATCAAACGGTGACAGCTCAGCAACATCTTCCAGAGCCTCAGAGGATGAAGACATTCCTCTCAAAAGGGCAGAAGACCTTCATTATGGAAACCAATCCCTTTAGGATCCTACAGGGCTATGTAGCAAGGCAGAAGACCGCTGACCAGTGAGGTGAGGAGGGGGCGGAGGGCATGTTGATGGGGGTTGGGGACGCAGTAGGCAGAGGTGGTCAGCTTCCCCACTTGCTCACTCACCTCTAGATGCCTCTAGCCACTCTTGCTTGACACTGTATCGGACCTGGGCTTTTGGGTGGCTCTCAGGAAGGTGGCAGGCAATGACCGCTGTGTTCCCCTCATCTACTTCAATCACGTGCTGCACGTCCAACTTGAAGTCCTGGAGGTCTGTGGAGAGAAGGGAAGGTGCCAACTGGGCCTCGATGGAGGAGAGAGACAAAGCACCATTTTAGGGTGGGCAGATGCCATGATGTCTTCAGTCATGATAAACAGCTGCAGGAGCTTCACTCCCTGGGGGCTTTCTGGGGGTGGTCCAAGTCCTTCCTCCAGCCTTCTGTTGTCTATAAGAGTTTGCAGGATGGAATGTGTGGCCTCCATCACTGCAAGAGAGTTCAACTTGGTATGTATAAGCTGGAGAGTGGGGACACTGTGTAAAGAATTCCACCAGGAGATGCCTGTGACCCAGACCGGCCTCTTCAGTTACTCTGAGACATGGCGGCCAGTTGGCCAGGCCCAGGGGCCCTACTGAACCTGGCAGGAGATGGGTCACTGATCAAGGCATAAATGCTCTGGCACAGCTAATGGAGATGGAAGGGAAGGATGAAAGAGAATTGTGATCTCTTCTTTCCAGTTCAGTCAAGTTCCCTGGTTCTTCTTTGACATCCCCAGTAAAAGTGACAGGCCCTAGATACTGCTCAATCGCCAACCATGGTTGTGACAGGAAGGCTGAGGCTACCCAGAGCTATATTCTCTGTCATGGCTAATCCTTCCTTGGGGCTGGGGGTGTGGGATCTGTGGATGCTCTGAGGGCTTTCTAAGGCAAAGACACATCTCCACGGTGTGGCTAATGGTAGTGGAATATGGGAGAGCTGAGGGTCCTGACACCAGGCTGCAGTGTCTGACAACATGGTGGCTGTCTCTTCTGACTTGGCTTGGTGGCAAGATTGGGATCTAAGCTGGGAGAGGATGGAGCTCCATCTGTAACAAGAGCAGAATGTTTCCCAAATAATCTAACCGTTCAAACCACAAAACTCTCTGTGTATGAGCCAAATCACTGATGTTGCTGAACAAAATTGGACACTTGGGCAAAAAACACTCCAATTTTGTTTTTTAGGACTGTGGTTGAATTTAAAAGAAGACATAAAATGAAAGGGGACGAAGATAAGAAAGATGAGAATATTTACCCAGACGCTCCCTCATAAAGGTACTTAGAAAGCCCTTGAGGCACCCTCTCTGAATGCTGACCATACCAAAAATTCTGCTCAGCTCCTGAGAACAGACGCCATCAGAGCTTTTACTGCAATTCTGCTGCAAGACTCCACCTGCCTGTGTTGTTTCCCTGGGAGACCCAGAGAAGGCAAGAAGGCGACAGGAGCAGGCAGGAATCAGGTTTCTCACAAAAGAGAAGAGGTAATTACCAAAAACAAACTCTGGTCACCAGAGGAGAGCCCAGGGATCAGGGCACGCAGTAAGGTCAGAAGGTTTCCCACTTAATGGAACTTTCCAGAAGCTTTTAGACAAGCCATGCCAGAATAGGAAAGCCCTTTTGTTTCTATGAAAGGATCACTGTCTCTCTGTTTACAATGTTAGAGTGTGAACTTTTTAGGGGCAGGGACCAAGTCTTGTTTGTGTATATGTCCTCTGAACCTAACCCAGGGCCTGGCCTAAGTAGATGCTCAGTCAATGCTGAATGACCGAATGAAGGACTATCTTGGAAGTTGGGACCCTCTGATCAGGTACAAGATGCCCATTTATGTTGCCTATGAACTCAAATTTCCTAGTTGTGTTTCGTCTACACTGCAAGCTCAAGGACAGAGGCCTACCACAACACATTTTCTACGAACCTTTTATCTAAGTATGGTTATTATGAAAATAGACTGCTTCTAGAACGGTTACTTCTGGAGTCACAGAAGAGATGTGAAATAGGCAGTGAAGGTGGAGTAGGAAATATGTGCTGTTCACCAGTGGCATGGCAAAAACAAACAGACTGCCCCCATTCATTTCTATTGCCCTCTTTTACTTTCTGGGCTGAATAAATGATATCTGGGGGTCAACGGGAGATCTCACTTATGGATTGCTTCCTTTGGGTGGGTATAGTGCCTTCTGGGCTTTTAAAGAATTATCTCGTCATTGTTTAACTTTGAATATGTGATAATCTGACTCCAACTAAATTGTGAACTCCTAGGGGACGGCCTATTGATTTTACATTACACACCCCAGCCCCAAACCCCACTGCACAGTATTCAGGATACAGCAAATGCTCTATAAATCCTTGCTGAATGAATGAACAATTTGGAAGGCTGAGCCCAAGGCCAGCTTGCTGGGAGTGCACTCTGTGCAGCTGCACGTGGCCCTCTGCCTGGAAGGGGCCGGTGCTCGCTTTAATGCTCATCACACTGCTCATCACCGTCTTCAAATCCTTAACAAGTATGAACAAGACTCCACATTTTCATTTTGCGTTAGACCCCCAAAATCATGGAGCCCAGTCCTGGCTGAGCTTCTCAGCCAAGAGAGCGGATGTGTGTTTTCTCAGAGAGGAAGGAGATACGGACTATGGGAGAGGGTGGATGGCCTGCGCACAGTGTGTTCTGACTAAATATTGCTAACTGCTTTTCAAAAGCAATGCACTTAAACAATGCAAAGGCCTTAATCCTCCTCCGCACAGTGTGTGCTGTACCTGCCAAGTCAGGAGGCTCCCCACAAAGCGAGCTGTGAGCGATTGTCCGCTCAGGGGCATCTGGAAAATTCCTGTCACCAAGAAGCACTCTCTTCCACGGTCCAATAAATCTAAAACTACTCCACCAAAGAGTTTGAGTTTTTTTTTTCCTCCTCTGCTTTATTTCATTCCAAGAAAATTTGCCTCAAGCAAAGATATACTCAAACCTAACAGATCATTTTACAAGAAAGAAAGGAGTTTGGCACCAGAATGCCATCTCCATGTTAATGGCCCAGGCTGTTGCCCCATTGTAATCGAGAGCTTATCCAGGCACAAGGCACGCACTTCTCCATGCACCCACCTCACCGACCCACCACTACAAAACACAGCCACCCCCCTCATTCCTCTTGGCTCCTTCTGCACCTTCTGACAACTGCCAAGTTGGAGACAGAAGGCTGTGCAGTGGGGGAGGCACAAAGCTGGGCACTGGTCAGCCATGTGGCCAGATAGCCCCTCTGTTCTGATGCCAACATGTGCACAACAGCCCATGTGGGCAGGACCAAGTACACCCGAGCTGGGCATCCTACTGGCAGGCCTGCCTTCCTGGCTTCAAAACAAATAAGCAGTAGTTCGGTCCTTGGCCTGCCCTGTTCCTCCTGAGCTTAAGCCTTAGCCGTTGCTTCCCCAGACAAACACATCCAATTTGGCTGCTAGAGCAAAAGTTGAGTTTCACTAAGGGATCACAGGCAGAGTAACAAAGTGATGATGGATCTGAAAATCAGAGCACCCCCTCTTTAGTGCTTTTAGGCAGGAAGGAGACTGGGGAGGGGGGCGGGCTGGAGCCGTGGGATCAGTAATGGCCTAATCAGCCACCAGATGAGGCAGATGCAGAGATCTAGTTGGCTGCAAGTGAAGGAAACCAGCCTATTCCCAGGCCCCTTTGTCTGCAAAGCCGGGTTCCTGCCCAGTCCCCGGGCTGCTCTGGGCACCTCCCTGGGCCTAGGGGGCAGGCCCTTCAATTCCAAATGGGGTTAACAGACCGCACTGCAGAATGATGGATCGGGTTTCAGGGGGAAATGGTTTGACAGGACACCTGCCCTTGCCTGTGGGCTGGTGTGTTTGAGAAATCCATTAGAGGAATGTTTTTGCAGCTTTAATCCTCTTACCTTCCCCCAGAGCCCTCTTGTGCATCCTCTCTTTGTGTATTCTTATGGCTATTTTATTAACTTGTCTGCACTAATCAAATGCCAGTAGGACCACTCTTGTTTCTCAGCTCTAAACAGGCCAGAAGCCCTGGTCTTTGGGGCCATCTCTGGGTTTACAGAGTCTCCTTTTCACAGAACTTTGTGCTTTCTAAGAAAGTCCAAATAATTTGGGTTCATATAGAACCCTGCCCAGTTCCTTCCTTCTAGGCCCTCCATTTCTTAATGGAAATGTATCTTCTGGTACGTCATTTCCACAGATGACAGGGATTTGTTTAGACGCAAACCATGTGATGTGCTCTGGGTTTCCTCCTCACATTTATAGGGTACAGTAGGCACCTGCCTTCTGAGCCAAGGGAAAACAGGGAGGAAAATAAGAACTGTGAGAAGCATGTGGGTGTGGCTGCCGTCACCAGGGTCGCCTGCGAGACTACAAAGAGGCAAGTTTTATCTTAAGCCCCTTTGAATTTCTTCTCACCTCGTAGCCGGATCCATCCTTCAGCTCAGCAGAGCTATGAATTAAATTACAGTATTTGGTGTATGATCATGAATTCCCATGACACAAAACTGTCAAATCTTAAGTGTAGGCTCATCCCCCCCAACTGTTATAGAATTTACACAACCAGTTCCAGGGTGCATTGCACCACAGCAGAATGCCCCCGGTGTAATCTATAAGGCATTTCAAGGCATTTCCTCATTTGGCCCTCCTCTCCCTGAGACCTCTCTTAGGCTGCCAGTCAAAGTTCAGTTAAGTAAGAAGTCAGGTAAGACAGTGCCTTTTGGCCGGAGGCTGCATAGCATCAACCCCGTCCCTATTTCCATGAACTCAGCTGAACACTTAAAAAAAAAAAAAAAAAAAAAAGTCATTTTCTACCCATCCAGGCATTTCTTAAGTATAGTCAGTCCCGTCCCACCCTCTTGCCTCAAGACAAGCCTGTACTCATCTGCCGAGGTCTGGATGGGACCCACCAGATCGTGGGGGCACTGCATGGGGCTCACTTCGCAATGCTGTCAGCATGCCTTGGTAGCCTCTTGGCCATTGGCAAGTTTCTGGGCCGATAATTCTACTCCCAAACTCTCATGGCCTCCAGGCCTCAACTGTCCTTGTGGTGGCTTGCTGCATCTACGGCTACCATCACAAAGCATAGGAAGACTTTGCCCTGTTATAGTCCCCCTCAGTGACATGCTGACCCTGTGGCCCTTCCCTGCACCTTGATGACTTGTTGAAAGGCGGCAAAGTTTCAAGGGAAGTAAAATGAGGAGCTTTCTCTGGCGGAACCCGCAGCTCACTGCTCTCCAGGATGGACTTG